TACTATTTATTTATATATTAATTTTTATATTATAGCTATTCATATTATTTATTTGTATTTTTAATATTATCATGTATATTATTATTATTTATATTATATTTATATTATAATTGCTATTTATATTATTTTTATTTTTAATATTTATATTGATTATAGCATATTATTTATGTCATTATTTATATTATTTATGTTATTATTTATAGTATTATATTATTTATTATATTTATATTGCTATTTATATTATTATATTTATATTATTGCTATTTATATTATTTATATTTTTAATATCTATATTGATTATAACATATTATTTATGTAATTATTTATATTATTCATATTATTATTTATAGTATTATATTGTTATTTATTATATTTATTGTACAGAAGTTGATTATAAATTGTATGATTTTAACTGTATTGGTGTTTAGATTGGCTGCAGTCATGCTGGAGCGGCCTAAGTCAGAGGAGTGCGTTGCCATGGAGACGATGCAGTAGAGAGAGAAGTGGGAGGAGCTTAGAGGGAAGAGTTTGAAAAACGACAGTTCATGTTCAGTTAGGGTTTGGAGCTCGGAGTGAGCAGTTCCAGTTAGGAGGTCGATTCAGTCAGCCGTCAGAGATAGTTGTTTAGTGGAAGAGCAGTGAGAGGGAATAGCAGTAGGTTTTCCAGCCTAGGAAGGCGGGAGGGAGAAACCTAGATAGTTTCTTTAGTCAGGGAAGGCTAAAGAAAGCTAGTTAARATYGCTAGTCGRGAGAAGACTAGAGATCASTAGTTTGATCAAGGACAGATCAAATTAGAAAGCTATTCACCTCAGGAAACATTGCTCAGCAAAGTGCTACATTTYACTAACAGTTGCTHTAAGCTGTATCATTTGAAAGAGTGTTACTTAAAGTTCCAGAAGTCATTCAACAACTCGTAACCACAYGCTTTGTMCAAAATAAACTTGTTCTCTTTTGTTTGAAGACTGCCTCTTCTCCATCAATTCTGCGTCCAGTGGGCCATTTCTCACAATATTATAACTTACCTCACGATTGGTGGCAGCTACCCTAGTTTACAGTATATTCTTTCCAATAAGTGAGGCCTGAGTTTAATTCCCTCCTTGATCTTATATGCGCCTCGTTACATTTATATTGCTATTTATATTGTTGTACTGCTATTTATAATATTTATATTTAATTTTTAATATTATCATTTATATTATTGTTATTTATATTGTTATTATTCCACTAGGTCACCCTGTCTGCACCAAATTTGGCATGCATACCCTATATGTTAAAATGTAAATACTTGGCCTTGACATTTGTTAGTTGTAGGTACTGGGATTTATAGTTCACCTGCAATCAAAGAGCACTCCGAACCCCACCGATGGTGGACCTGGACCACACTTAGCACACAGAACCCTCATGACCAACTGAACATACTGGAGTGGTTTCATAGGACTGACTCACCATGGTGGGAGTTGTAGTTTATCCTATAGCCAGAGAGCACACTGAACCCCACCAGTGATGCATCTGGAGCAAACTTGCCCAACATAATAAACTTTCAAGTATTGTTGGAGTTTCGTGGGTTAATCTGACATGATGGGAGTTGTAGTTCACCCACAACCTTATGCATTTTGTACAATCAAAAAATATGACTTAATAACGCTGAGTACCAAACTAGTAGTAATAATAATAATAGCAATGATAATAATAGAGTATAATAACATTATCTATATAAATAAAAATGTAATGTTCGTTTGTGCTATTCACAGAACTCAAAAACCCCTGGATGAATTGGCAACAAATTTGGACACGATACACCTAACAACCCAATGTATGTTCTCCACTCAAAAAAACCACAAAAACAAAAAGCAGAAAGGACTTCTGAACTACATGTCCACAAAGGAGAAACTGCATGTCTACAAAGAGACCCATGGCCACGCCCCCTCCTCCTCGCAGGGAAAACCGCAGGCCGTTAAAGCTTGAGGAGCCAGGCGCGTGTGCGTGCCCCCCCCCCTCCCACACACAAGCGAGAGCGGGCACCATGGGAGTGGAAGGGGAGGCTTGCCACAGGGAGCCCCTTCTCTTTCCCTGCTATGCCAGGAGGGCGGTCTCCTCCTCCTCCGCCTTTCCCTGTTGGAAGAGGCCGGCGGGTGGGGGACGGACTTTCTGTAGACCCTTCTTTCTTTTTTAACTCTTTCCTTTCTGTCTGACCTGCTTGCCTGTCTCCGGCAACACGAGCACACATTTAACACACACACACACACAGGAGGTAGCTGCCTCTGCCACACTTTCCTTCTTTCCCTCCTTCCTTCTCCTTCCTGACCCTCCTTTCTTTTCCTTCCCTTCTTTCCCTCCTTCCTTTCCTTCTTTCTATGTAAGATATATTTATTTATTTATTTATTTCGAGGTTTTATATACTGACCCTCTCACCTTCAAAGAGGGATTCGGACCGGTTCACAACATGTGTTAACATACAAAAAATATACAATAACAACACAATGCCACTTAATTACACGATTAAAATATCAGCACCATACACATTAAAACATTATCAACCCAGTTAAAAGAGCCAAATCGTCTGACACCATCACAATCCCATTCATCATCCTCCATTCATGTGGGCAAAGAATTAAATCAGTTGTCAAATGCCGCGTTCCACAACCAGGTCTTTGTTAGTTTCCTGAACGTCATGAGGGAGGAGGCAGTTCTGATCTCTAATGGCAGGGAGTTCCAAAGTCGAGGGGCCACCATCGAGAAGGCTCTGTCCCTCGTCCCCACCAGCCGTGCTTGTGCAGGCGGAGGGACCGAGAGCAGGGCCCCTCCAGATGATCTTAGTGGTCTTAACAATTTTACATATTGTTATATAGATTACTATATAGTATGTTACATACATACATATATATTACTATATAATACAAATTAAACAGAAGGGACAGTCAAGAAGTAACGAGGGAAAGAGGGAAGGAATGAAGGAGGGAAAGGGGAAGGAAAGAAGGAAGGAGACAAGGAGGAAGGGAAAGAAGAAAGGAAAGAAAGAAAGGTAGAGAAGTAAGGAAGGAGAGAAGGAAATAAAAAAGTGAAAGGAAAAGAGAGAGGGAAAGAAGGAGAGAAGGAACGAAAGACAGGGAAGGAAGGAAGGAGAGAAGGAAGGATGCAAGCAAAGAGCAAAGAAGGGGGGGAAAGAAACAGGTAGAGATGGAAGCAGGAAGAGAAATAGGAAGGGAAAGAAATAGAGGAAAGGAAGGAAAGAGGGAGGGAAGTTTGGCCACAGCAACGCGTGGCGGGTACAGCTAGTACTATTATAATTACTAATATTATAATTATTAATTGTATAATACTTAGGAAGTGTCTGATGCGTGATCTTGTTTGCTGTGTACTAATTTTGTGAAGATGATGGTGATGATAGGATGGGAGGCCAAGGAAATAATAATAATAATAATAATAATAATAATAATAATAATAATAATAATAGTAATAATATCTGGTTTGTAGTGCAGTTTTCTTGTACAGACAAAGAACCAGTACAAGAAAGCTGCACTACAAACCACAGCATTATTACCATTATTATTATTATTATTATTAGGATTTGGCCCTAGCTTCAAACAGCAGCCCAACCCGTCTTGTTCTTTCTATTATGATTATGAGTTGGCCCTGAGCCTCATATAGTAGCTCAACACTTTATTGTTACTACTATTATTACTATTACTTCTATGACTTGGCCCTGGGCCCAAGGATGATGATGTGATGATAATTTGGCCATGATATTTAGATGTTCAACTGTATTGTCTTTATTGTCTGAGTCTTGTTTGAAGAAAGAGGCAGGGAGACATTTCCAGAGAAGCAACAGCTTTTATTTTGAGGCTTTTTGCAACTATGGACTGCGCCGAGTGCAAATTCCCATCGCTGTCATAATCTTTTCCACCACGAAAAGCATCCCTCCTTGCGGCGGGGAAATGGAAACGCAAGACGGCTTTAATATATATTAAAGATTCGACTAAGGATATGTCTTTCATTCACAGAATTGGAATATCATCAGCTGGTGGAGCTTCATTAAGCTAAACCTAGAAATGGAAGAAAGAGAGAAAAAAAGTCTGGATCAATAGGCCTTGGCCTGCACTTAAAAACAATAGGCGCTGACAAAATTACCATCTGTCAGCTGCCAAAGGCCTCCCTACTTGGATCTGCACACATTATTTGCCGATACATTACACAGTCCTAGACACTTGGGAAAGGTCTTACATGTGATCCAATACAACAGCCAGCTGTGTACTAATCTTGTTGTGTTTATAATAATAATAATAATAAGAAGAAGAAGAAGAAGAAGAAGAAGATAGGAGGCTGCCAAGGAATATGATGGTGCTAATTATAGGATGGGAGGCTACCAAGGAAAATAATAATAGTACAGTAATATAATTATAATAATAATAATAATAATAATAATAATAATAATAATAATAATAATAATACAAGGCCACCAAGGAAGACAACAATGATAGTAATAATAGGATGGGAAGACTAGAGGATGGAAGTATTATTTCAGAGGGAGGCAATGGCATTCCTTGCCTGAGATAAAAATGCTACAGCTCTCCTGGAGTCATAGGTGGGACTAGATGGCCTCTGTGGTTGATTCTAGCTCTTTGGCCTTCCCCTCTGCTCTCTCCCCATTTTGTGTTTGAATGACGTGAAAGCATGACTCACCATTGGCGAAGCGGCACTGCTTGAGGACCTCGCTGAACCCCTCACAGAGCTTGAGGTCAGCCTGGTTCTGGGCGCATTCCAGGAACTGCTTCATCTCATACTGGCAAGGGCTGAACTGGGAGGACTGGGCCGCGGGTTGGGGCTCCTGGGGAACAGAGAAGACCATCACTCTCATTAGCAGACTCCCTCTATCGCTAATTAGCCCAAAAGCCTTCAGAGTACTTTGAGCCAATCGAACACTGATGGCAAGAGATTGTTGCAACACATTTATTTGATCATGACACCTTGCTGGGTGGAAAGTGCCACACTGAAGTGAGGGGCAGTCTAGTTTTTATAGCCAACATTTTGAGTATGCACACAACAGCTTTTTCTCTGAATTTTGCCTCATTCTTTCTCTTTGGTGCCTCTCTTATCAGTGTTGTCCTTTTTGCGGTACCTATTGATGTTAGATTGAACTTTAGGTTGAACTTCAATCTTGGCTTGAACTCTCTCCTCCTTTTGGGTCCTTGTTCTCTTTTGCTCCACTGTGCATGCGAGACTTTTGTCTGAACTTTATTTTGGCTGTTAATTTTTATTATTATTTTCCCTCATTCTAGTCCCTTCATTCCTCTCCCAAACACCTTGAGATCCAGGAAACAATACAAACAGCATCTGGAAAGGACATGCAGAAATGGTCATAAGTATGAACCTCCTCTGGTCAAGGGAGCAGCTCTCACCTGGTATGTGATGTCGGGCCTGGCGACTTCAGCGCTACCTCCTCCTCCTCCGAAACCCCCAGTCATGGCATGGCCTAAGGTGTGCCCCACGGCTGAACCCACCGCGACACCAGCTGCGGTGGTGGCCATCTGGGCCATGAGGCCTGGCTGGCGGGGGGCCGGTGAGGCCATGGCTGAAGGGGGGGCGGCTGCAGGGACGGAAGAGCGAGCGGCTGGCGGAGGAGCCGAGCGCAGGGGGGGTGCAGCACGGCTACAAAGGCAAAAGAGAGAAAGCCATCAGGTCGCAGATCATTAAGTCTAGTCGTGTCTGACACTGGGGTATGGTGCTCATTTCCATTTCTAAGCCAAAGAGCCGGCATTGTCCATAGACACCTTGTAGGTCATGTGGCCAGCATGACTGCATGGAGCATCATTACCTTCCCTCAGAAGGTACTATTGATGTACTCACATTTGCATGTTTTTGAACTGCTAAGTTGGCAGAAACTGGGGCTAACAGCGGGAGCTCACCCCCCTTCCTGGATTCGAACTGCTGACCTTTTGATCAGCAAGTTCAGCAGCTCAGTGCTTTAACCCACGGTGTTTCCAGGGGGCCCATATAAATAGCCCACCTCATCTCCCCAAAGGGATTCAGATGGTTTACAACAAGCACCAATATAAAACACATAAACACAGGCCAGAAAACTCACAGCAATCTATTATTATAAATAGCAGCAGTAGTAGTAACATATTATTACAGAGGCTAGATGGTCAACTGTCGGGAATGCTTTGATTGTGTCGTCTTGCCTATCAGAAGGGGTTTGCACTGGGTGAACTTGGGGTCTCTTCCAACTCTATTATTATTAGTAGTAATATTATTGGAGCCCTCAGTGGCACAGTGGGTTAAACCGCTGAGCTGCTAAAATTGCTGATCGAAAGGTCGCAGGTTCGAATCCAGGGAGCGGTGTGAGCTCCCGCTATTAGCTCCAGCTTCTGCCTACCTACCAGTTCGAAAACATGCAAATGTGAGTAGATCAATAGGTACTGCTCCGGCGGGAAGGTAACAGTGGGGCTAACTGCTACATGCAGTCATGTCGGCCACATACCTTGGGGGGTGTCTATGGACAACGCCGGCTCCTCGGCTTAGAAATGGAGATGAGCACCAACCCCCAGACTGGACCTAATGTCAGGGAAAAACCTTTACCTTTACCTAGTAATATTAGTGGTCCACGCTCTTGTTACATCCCAAATAGATTACTGCAACACGCTCTACATGGGGTTTGCTTTGAAGATTGTTCGGAAGCTTCAAAGGGTCCAAAGGGCGACAGCCAGGTTACTAACAGGAGAGGTGCTTAGGGAACACACTACTCCTCTGTTGCGTCAGCTCTACTGGCTGCCAATTTCCTACTGAGCACAATTCAAAGTGGTGGCTTTAGCCTATAAAGCCCTAAACGATTCCGGCCCAGCTTACCTGTCCAAAAGTATTTCCTCCTCTGAACCATCTAGGAGCTTAAGATCGTCTGGGGAGGCCCTGCTCTTGATCCCGCCTGCCTCGCAAGCGCGATTGGCGGAGACGAAGGATGGAACCTTCTCAGTGGTGGTCCCCGGCTATGGAACTCCCTCCCCAGGGATATTAGATAGGTGCCCTCCCTCCTGACTTTCCAAAAAAAAGTAAAAACCTGGCTCTTTGAGCAAGCTGTTGAGAATACAGTGCAATAGATAACACGGAACTATGAATGATGAACATGGAATGGCGAGACGATGTTACTGGATAACGTTTTTAACAAGATGACACCAATGATTATATGCTTTAACATGTTTTATTTATGTTTTATATTGTTGATTGTTTTTAATGGCACTTTTATGAATGCCTGACATCGAATTGTCCCAATCTGTAACCCGCCTTGAGTCGCCATATGGCTGAGAAAGGCAGGCTATAAAGATTGTAAATAAATAAATAAAATTATTAGCTTACACCTCCCAACAAAGGATTATTATTTATTTATTTATTTATTTATTTACTGCATTTGTAGACCGCCGTTCTCAGCCCTAGGGCGACTCACGGCGGTGTACAACATATAAAAAACACAATTTACAATAAAGGCAATATCACAACAACAATAACAACATCACTATCAATAATACAGTTACACTAAATCATTCGCGACGTCTCATCATAGAATCACAATCCAATCTCGTTATCCATATTCCGTTCCAATCATCATTGCCAATTGTTGTAGCACTTAGTCAAACGCCTTCTCAAACAACCACGTCTTTAGTCTCTTGCGGAATGTCATAAGGGAGGGCGCCTGTCTGATGTCTACAGGGAGAGTGTTCCACAGCCGGGGGGCCACCACCGAGAAGGCCCTATCCCTCGTCCCCGCCAGGCGTGCCTGTGAGGCAGGCGGGATCGAGAGAAGGGCCTCCCCAGACGATCTCAAAGTCCTCGTGGGCTCATAGGCCGAGATGCGGTCAGACAGGTATTTTGGGCCAGAACCGTTTAGGGCTTTGTAGGCCAACACCAGCACCTTGAATTGGGCCCGGTAGCAGATCGGCAGCCAGTGGAGCTGGAACAACAAGGGCGTTGTGTGCTCCCTGCGTCCCGCTCCTGTTAGTAACATGGCTGCCGCGCGCTGGACTAGCTGCAGCTTCCGGGCCGTCTTCAAGGGCAGCCCCACGTAGAGAGCGTTGCAGTAGTCAAGGCGGGATGTGACCAGAGCGTGTACCACCGTGGCCAAGTCAGACTTCCCGAGGTACGGGCGCAGCTGGCACACGAGCCTAAGCTGTGCAAATTTTGGATTCCCCCCAAGCAGTAACCAGCCAGGCTTTGAAGCTGCGAGAACATTCAATGCTAATCAAGCTGGCCAATGGCAACCTTCCCACTTGCTTCAAGCAGACAAGAGCTCTTTCTCCCACCCTGGACATCATTCCAGAGATATAGAAAGCTCACTTGCCTCGTTTCCAACAGACCTCACAACCTCTGAGGATGCCTGCCATTGATGGAGGCGAAACGTCAGGAGAGAATGCTTCTGGAGCATGGCCAGAAAGCCCTGAAAACCTACAGCAACCTAAATAACATTACTTTAATATCAATATTATAATATATATATTATACTGTAAGATATAATATTAAGATAATATAATATATTATTATTAATAAATAATATCATATGTTAATAGTATATATAATATATTAATAATATATAAGATAATATAATATATTGTAATATAAGATATTATTATTATTATTAACTCTAGGGATTGTTCTCCTCAAGAGAGTGGAATCAGTGCAGTGTGTGGAGTGGGGAACTACAAATCCCATCAGCCCCCGCGCTGCTTCACCTGGCAGGGGGCGCCATGCGGGAGGTCCGGCTCCTGCTTCCCCTCGGCATCGTGAATGAATCAAGAACCGCGGCCTTCCTTCGTAACTCTTCGTCCTCGCCTTTCACCACAGCGACCTCCTTACGCCTCCGTCGTCCCTTTTCTCGATCTTTCCTTCCGCTTCCGGCGGTGTGGTTGCGCGCAACTTCCGGTCTCCTCGCGCGAAGGTCGAAAAGCCGACTGCGCATGCACAGTTACTTTGACGGCTCCCCTCGCGAATGCTTTGTCAGTGCGCACGCGCAGAACTCTACCTTGGCTTTGTCGGAATGGGCGGAGCTATCCCCTTGGTAAAGGGCGAGGCGGTTTGTATGCTGCGCCTCATGTGTGACCCTTTGCCGCCCTCCTGTGGACACAGCGAGCACTGCACCTTTAGAGGCAAAGGACCATACATGAGGCGCATTGAGGTACGCCTCTTTGCCGCCATCAAGTGGCCAAATCGAGACATTGCAGACATTCATTTTATTATTATGACATTTTGTATGCTGCGCCTCATGTACGGCCCTTTGCCGCCCTCCTGTGGACAAAGCGAGCACTGCAGTTTTAGAGGGCCATCATAGGCAGCTGAGTCATAGGCAAAGCATTGAGATGTGCCTCTTTGCCGCCATCAAGTGGCCAAATCGAGACATTGCAGCCATTCATTTTATTATTATGACATTTTGTATGCTGCGCCTCATGTATGGCCCTTTACCGCCCTCCTGTGGACACAGCGAGCATTGTACCTTTAGAGGGCCACCATAGGCTTCCATGCAGGCAGCTGAGCCATAGGCAATGCATTGAGGGACGCCTCTTTGCCGCCATCAAGTGGCCAAATCGAGACATTGCAGACATTCATTTTACTATTATGACATTTTGTATGCTGCGTCTCATGTATGCCCCTTTACCGCCCTCCTGTGGACACAGCGAGCACTGCACTTTTAGAGGGCCACCATAGGCTTCTATGCAGGCAGCTGAGCCATAGGCAAAACATTGAGAGGCGGCTCTTTGCCGCCATCAAGTGGCCAAATTGAGACATTGCAGCCATTTATTATTATTATGACACTTTGTATGCTGCGCCTCATGTATATCCCTTTGCCGCCCTCCTGTGGACACAGCTAGCATTGCATCTTACGAGCGTCACGATAAGCTTCTATGCCAGCGGCTGAGCCATATGTAATAATGCATAGCGAGGCGCCTCTTTGCGGCCACCCAGTGGCCCAATCCAATCGAGACATTGCAGACATTAATTTTATTATTAAGGCATTTTGTATGCTGCGCCTCGTGTATGGCTCTTTGCCGCCTTCCTGTGGACACAGCTAGCATTGCATCTTACGAGGGTCACCATAGGCTTTTATGCACAGTTGAGCCATAGGCAATAATGAATGGGAAGGCGTCTCTTTGCCGCCACCAAGTGGCCAAATCGAGACATTGCAGACATTCATTATATTATTAGGACACTATGTATGCTGCGCCTCATGTATGGCCCTTTGCCGCCCTCGTGTGGACACAGCGGCCATTGCACATCAAGAGCGCCACCATAGGCTTCCATGCAGGCAGCTGAGACATAGGCAGTGATGAATGGGAAGGCGTCTCTTTGCCGCCATCAAGTGGACAAATCGAGACATGGCAGCCATTCATTATATGATTAGGATACTTTGTATGCTGCGCCTCATGTATGGCCCTTTGCCGCCCCCCTGTGGACACAGCGAGCATTGCACCTTTACAGGGCCAGCATAGGCTTCCATGCAGGCAGCTGAGCCATAGGCAATGCATTGAGGGACGCCTCTTTGCCGCCATCCAGTGGCCAAATCGAGACATTGCAGACATTCATTATATTATTAGGGCACTTTGTATGCTGCGCCTCATGTATGGCCCTTTGCCGCCCCCCTGTGGACACAGCGAGCATTGCACCTTTAGAGAGCCAGCATAGGCTTCTATGTAGGCAATGCATTGAGAGCCTATTTGCCGCCATCAAGTGGCCAAATCGAGACATTGCAGACATTCATTTTATTATTATGACATTTTGTATGCTGCGCCTCATGTCTGGCCCTTTGCCGTCCTCCTGTGGACACAGCGAGCACTGCACCTTTAGAGGGCCACCATAGGCTTCTATGCAGGCAGCCGAGCCATAGGCTATGCATTGAGAAGCGCGTCTTTGCCGCCATCCAGTGGCCAAATCGAGACATTGCAGACATTCATTATATTATTAGGACACTTTGTATGCTGCGCCTCACGTTTGGCCCTTTGCCGCCCTCCTGTGGACACAGCGAGCACTGCACCTCAATAGCGCCACCATAAGCAATAATGAATGGGAAGGCGCCTCTTTGCCGCCACTCAATGGCCATATAGACACATTGCAGTCTTTCATTATATTTTGGGAAAGGGAAGGAAGGCATGTTAACAATAATGACAGAAACCACTTTTGGTCTCTATCTATATAGAAAAGCAGGGCATCATACTCGTAATTAATAATCCCCTCGGGAAGATAGGGTGGAATATAAATAAAGTATTATTAATAATAAAACTTTATATTTATATACATGATTATATTATTATTATATAATAGAATAATAATATGATGTCATTGCAAAGCTTCCTTCCTTTGCAGAATTTCAAATTAAGCCCCACCTCTTTTCCCCTTCAGTGATTGGCTTCTACCCACAGCCCCACCCTCCTAGTTTTGCTGAAAGGAGGAGGAACAAGAGGACGCTCCTTGCATGTGTAAGAAGCACTGCCTCTTCTATCTTCCTTCGCTTTTCAATCCAGGGATTTTCAGGGTTTCACCTAGTGTGTATGCTCAGAAAACCTAGCTTAACAGGTATGCATTATTATATCATCATCAATAATGGAGCTCCCGGTGGTGCAGTGGGTTAAACCCCTGTGCCGGCAGGACCGAAGACCAACAGGTCGCAGGTTTGAATCCGGGAGAGGCGGATGAGCTCCCTCTATCAGCTCCATCAAATCATCCGGGTGTCCCCTGGGCAACGTCCTTGCAGACGGCCAATTCTCTCATAACAGGAGCGATTTGCAGTTTCTCGGGTTGCTCCTGACCCGACAAAAAAATAATATTATTATTAATAATAATGTATTTTCGGAGTATATTACTATTGTATCATCACCATCAATAATAATAACATATTGTAGGGATATATTATTATTTTATTATAATGATGATTTAATAATGATATAGTTCAACAATATATTATTATTATTATATTATTGATGATGATATAATAATATATTGTCAGACTATATTATTATATGATCATCAATAATAATAATATACTGTCGTAATATAATTATATAATAGATAATAATAATATATTGTCAGAATACATTATTATTATATCACCCTCAATAATAATAATAATAATAATAATAATTTATTGGACTATATTATTATTATTATATCATGGTCGGAATCACAGGGTTGCTAACCTAAAAACCACCATAATCAAGACAGTAAATAAAGAGAGGAACTCCGGACAGCAAACAATAAAGGGCCAGTGAATACCTCTCACGCAGAGGGTGCTTCTAGGCAACAACAGCAAGGCAACCTCTATGCAGACACCCTGACTGACTTCATAGCTACTAAATGCTATTCAAGCTTGCCAGCTGCAACATTCACACTTGCTTCACACAGAGAAGGACGGATCTTTCTCCCACCCTGGACATTCCACAGGGATGTATATATATGCTCCACTTGCTTCACTCCTCTATGCAGATACCTGCACTGATTGACTTTGTAGCTTCATGGCTATTCAATGCTAACTGAAGCTTATATATACACTCTATACAAGCTCTCTCTCTCTCTCTCTATATATATATATATATACTCTTCACTAGCCTCACTGCCAACAGAACCTCTGAAGATGCCATAAGCCACAGATGTGGGTGAAACATCAGGAAATAATATTGCTGGAACATGGCCAGACAACCCAGAAAACTCATAGCAACCCAATGATTCCGGCCATGAAAGCTTTCAGCACCAAATGTATATTGCTTTCCAGGTTTAACTGCCATCAGGATTGACTGATAGAGAAGGGGAATGCGACAGAATGGACACAAGCGCAGAAGGCAGACAGAAGTGGCGGAGGATCTTGTGTTATTGAACGGCCGGAGAAGCAAAGGCGCAAAGAATGAAACGGAGATTTTGGAACGCAGCAGCGACGAGACGAAGCTTCTTCAAGTGGCAGTCGAGGAAACAGGCAGTCAAGTAACTCAGAAGTTGGGGGTTTCGCTTGCCTACAAGAAAGCAGAAATGTTAGCTTAATAATATGAAAGCGTCCTGGCACACTGTGCTGTCTCCCTGTGCCTTTGCTTCCAAATTGTTTGGGTTCCAATGTGAAAACAGAGGCGGGTTTGCGTTGGTTGTCCACTGAGGCCAAGTGTGTGACCTGGCTTCTATGGCTGATTTGTTAGGTTCTTGTATTCTGAACCATAAAGGAGCAAAACAAACCTCTATACAACATGGATTGATTACAAAAAAAGCATTTGACTCACTGCCACATTGTTGGAATATCAAATGTCTAGATGTCATCGGGGTTTGTGAAAATATTAGAAAATTCACTGAAAATGCAATGAAACAATGGAAAACTGAGTTGTTAAACGCTGTTTGTCTTGGCGTATTCTTTCCAGTGAATACTAAACTCACAGCAGGACAGTTGCAGCAAAGAAGCTCAGATAAAATTGTACATTTATTGTTACCACAATTGTTAAATGATTATATTTAGTACTACAACTGTACAATTATTATTACAGTTGTACAATTATCATGGTTGTATAACTATTATGTTGTCAAACGCAATTATTATAATAATTATTACAATTGTCCAATTATTATTAGAATTATTACAATTTTTCAATTTTTATTATGGTTGTACAATTATTAATGTAATTATTGTGTTGTTGAATGCAGTTATTACTAGTACAATTGTACAATTATAATTACTGTGCTGTCGAACGCAGTTACTACAATTGTTATTACAGCAATTATACAATTATTATTATTACAATTGTTACAGTTGTTAAATTATTACGGTTGTACAATTATTACAATTACTGTGCTGTTGAACACAATTTTACATATATTATTACTACAATTATACAATTATTATTATTACAGTTGTACAATTATTATAATTACTGTGTTGTTGAATGCAATGTTTACAATTGTTATTACTACAATTATTATTAACAACAACAACAACAACAATTTATTTATATTCCTCCCCTTTCACTCCGAAGGGGACTCAGGGCGGATCACTGTACATATACTTGGCAAACATTCAATGCCGTTTTGTATAGACAATACACAGACAGACAGACAACAGAAGGAGGTGGTTTGTTTCAATTCAGTGTCCAGCTGTTTTTGATGCCATGGAAGGTTGGGGTGCTGTTGCTCTTTCCTCTATGATGAAGAGCTGTCAGGACTTCCTCCTTCCTTTTGGTCGCCCACCATTTTCTGATCTGCATTGTTGTAGGTTTTTTTGGGCTATATGGCCATGTTTAAGAGGCATTCTCTCCTGACATTTCGCCTGCATCTATGGCAAGCATCCTCAAAAGTAGTGAGGTAATTAGGTAATTAGATGCTTGCCATAGATGCAGGTGAAATGTCAGGAGAGAATGCCTCTAGAACAGGGGTCCACAAACTTTTTAGGCAGAGGGCCAGGTCACAGTCCCTCAAACTGTTGGAGGGCCGGATTATAATTTGAAAAATAAAACATGAATTCCTGTGCACGCTGCACATATCTTATTTATAGTGTAAAAAACACTTAAAAACAATAAAATAATTAAAATGAGGAACAATGTTAACAAATATAAACTTATTAGTATTTCAATGGGAAGTGTGGGCCTGCTTTTGGCTGATGAGATAGGATTGTTGTTGTTGTTGTTGTGTGCTTTCAAGTCGTTTCAGACTTAGGTTGACCCTGAGCAAGGGCCGGGTAAATGACCTTGGAGGGCCACATCTGGCCCCAGGCCTTAGTTTGAGGAACATGGCCATATAGCCTGAAAAAACCTACAACATCCCAGTGATTCCGACCGTGAAAAACTTCAACAATACATTTTCTGATCTTCTCTCTTTATGGCGTAATGAAACACCTTCCCCGCTTTTTAGCGGTACCTAATTTCTCTAATTACAGCTAAAGCTGTTTTCGAATTGCTTAGGTAAACAATGAGCTAGGGTGACATTTGGCAGCTCACGCCAAACCCAGGGTTCGAACTTGCAACCTTTTGGTTGATAGATCTTAGAATTGCTGACGATTTACCAGCTGTGCTAAACCTCCTTACAATTGTTACAGTTGTTAAATTATTACGGTTGCACAATGATTATAACTACTGTGCTGTCAAACGCAATGATTACAATTGTTATGACTGCAATTATATAATTATTATAATTACAATTATGACACTTGAGAAATTATTACGGTTGTCCAATTATTATAATTATACTGTGCTGTTGAACGAAATGATTACAATTGTTATTACAAGTGTACAGTTAATATTACAATTATACGATTATTATTGTTTGTGCCTTTCTGTGAATTTAATTTAATGGTTAGAAGTTAGATGATGATCTTAATTAATTATAGATTGGGTTCATCACTTGGTTGGAGATGATGGCCTCGTGTGGAGTTTGGCTGGTTGTGTTGTGTCTGATGGGGGGGGAGTCCAACCCGTGTTGTGAGTGTCCTTGAGAGGAGAGATGACGGGGGGGGGGGTGCTGCCGGGCCCGCCCCATGCAGCGGGGGATGCCGGGAGCTGTAGTCCATCAGCCCAATGGTGGGATGAAGGGAGGCGGGGAGCGTCATTCACCTGGGCGGAGGAGCGGGGCCCGGCTCCGGGGCGCTGTCGGCGGCGCCTCTTGGCGCGTGAGGCGCGGATCTTGTCGGCGATCTTGCGCTCGTGGCCGGCGGGGACCCTCCGGTTGGTGCGCTGCTCGCGGCTCCGCCGGCTGCGGCCTTTCCCTCCGGAGCCTGGCCCTCGAGGCCCGCCGCGCCAAGCACACTCCTCGCACTCCTCCGAGTCGCCCACCGCCGACACTTCCTCCGCTTCCTCCTCTCGCTCCGCCTCTGGCCTGGCTCCTGACCCCGCCCCCTCTTCAGTCCCCGCCCCCTCTTGCCTCTTCGCTTCTGTTTCCTTTTCCGCCTCTGGAGGCTCCGCCTCAACCTCGGCGGCGAGGTCGGATTGGCTCCGCTTCCGCTTCATGGCCACGCCCCTCGGTTAGGCCCCTCCTCCTCCTGACTGCTCTCTGTCAAGCTTTGCCACACGCGTCACTAATAAGCCACGCCCCTTGCTTGCTCTGCCTTGCAGCCCCTCCCCTTTTCTTGCGTCACAAGGGCCCGCCTATTTCTTGACTGCCATGCTGATAAGCCACGCCCCTTGCCTGCTCTGACGCTTAGCCCCTCCCATTTTCTGCGTCACAAACGCCCACCCATCGCTTGACGGCCCTGGAAATAAGTCACGCCCCCTTCCTTTGAGTTACAATCGCTTGCCTGCTCGGAGGTAAGCCCCGCCCCTCGCTTGCTCTAGCTCCAAGCCCCTCCCCCATCACAAGGACACGCCCATCGCATGTCAGCAATCGCGTTAAGCCACGCCCCTGACTCGCAGCTCCTCCCCTTCAATTACATCACTAGGGCTTGAAAGCCATGGAAAAAAGCCTCGCTCCTTGCCTGCTCTAACTCCTAGCCCCTCCCCTTTCGTTGCGTCACAAAGCCCGCCCATCGCTTGGCTACTATTTTGATAAGCCACGCCTCTTGCCTGCTCTGACTCCCAGCTCCTCCCCTTTCCTTGCGTCACAAGGGGCCGCCCATCGCTTGACTGCCCTGGCGATAAGCCACGCCCCTTGATCTAACTCCAAGCACCKTCCCTTGATTTKCATCACAAGGACACGCCCATCGCATGACATCTATAATGTTAAGGCACGCTCCTCCCTTTCAATTGCGTCACTAGCGCCTGCCCATCGCTTGACTGCCATGGAAATAAGCCTCGCTCCTTGCCTGATCTAACTCCTACCCCCTCCCCTTTCGTTGCGTCACAAAGGGCGGCCTGTTGATAAGCCACGCCCCTTGCCTGCTCTGACTCTCAGCTCCTCCCCTTTCCTTGCGTCACAAGGGGCCGCCCATCGCTTGAATGCCCTGGCTATAAACCACGCCCCTTGATCTAACTCCAAGCACCTTCCCTTGGTTTGCATCACAAGGACGCCTCCATTGCATGACAGCCATGGTATTAAGCCACGCCCCTTGCTGGATCTAACTCCAAGCCCCTCCCCTTGATTTGCATCACAAGGCCCGCCCATCGCTTAACAGAGATAAGCCACGCCYCTTGYGTGCTCAGGCTCCAAGCTCCTCCCCTTGATTTGCATCACAAGGACACGCCCATCGCACGATTGCCATGGCGTTAAGCCACACCCCTTGTTTGCTCTGACTCGCAGCTCGTCCCCCTGGTTTACGTCACAAAGGCACGCCCACCGCATGACTGCTCTTTTTCATTTGGCCACGCCCCCGAATGCCGCTCCGCCCTTTGCATCACACAGGGAGGAAGCCACGCCCCTTCGGATTCACGGTTGCTATGGCAACGAGGCCTACGACGCTTTTCAGCCCCGCGAAGCCTTTAGCATTTCGAGACCTTTTAGCGCTTCGGGAGCACTTTAAAGATTTTTCCCTGCCGTTCGGTTAAGTTGTGTACTGTTCCATTATATTAAAAAACCATTTATATCAGGCATGGGTAAACTTCGGCCCTCCAGGTGTTTTGGACTACAACTCCCACAATTCCTAACAGCCTACCGGCTGTTAGGAATTGTGGGAGCTGCAGTCCAAAACACCTGGAGTGCCGAAGTTTACCCATGCCTGGGTTATATGGTCCAAGGCGGTATTCGAACCCGGGGCCTTTTCCACAAACCCTCGCGAGAGGCGCTTAAGCCGCAAACACCGCCCTCTAATTCTGATTGGCTAGAGTAGCGTCACGTGTCGGGCGCCGGGGAGCGCCACGTCCATTGTGCGCGAGAGGAGGGGGAGGGTTATGGAGGGAGCGGTGGGCGTGGCCTCCCCGCCCACGAGCCAATGGGCGGCGCGGCCTGCCCCCCCCTCGCGCGTGCGCAGAGCCTCGGGGCGAGGGCTGGGCTCCAAAGATGGCGGCGCCCGTCCTGCTGCGAGTGTCGGTGCCGCGCTGGGAGCGGGCGGCCCGGTGCGCCGTGTGCCTGGCCGGGATCGCGCTCTCGCTCTACGCCTGCCACCTGGAGCGCGAGAAGGGGCGGGACCTCCACTACCGGGCCCTCTGCGACCTCGGGGAGCGCGTCCGCTGCTCCGCCGCCATCGCCTCCAGGTCAGGAGACGCGGGGAGGGCAAGGGCGACCCTGAGCATGAGCAGAGCGCCCCCGTTCCCCTCTCAGAGCCCTCCCTAGCAACTTGGGCCCTCCCTCCAGGCCTTTCGGGCTTCGGCTCCCACAATTCCAAACCCAATTTGAGGAATTGTGGGAGTTGGAGTCCAAAACACCTCGTGGGCCATCCAGCCCCAACCCCATTCTGCCAAAAAGCAGGAAAATCGCATTCAAAGCACTCCCGGCAGATGGCCATCCAACTTCTGCTTTAAAGCCTCCATAGAAGGAGTCTCCACCACACTCCGAGGCGGAGAGTTCCACTGTTGAACAGTTGGAAGGTTCCTCCTCATCTTCTAGGTTCCTCCTCATCCTAGAGTTGAAAGAGACCTCATGGGCCATCCAGTCCAACCCCATTCTGCAAAGAAGCAGGAAAATTGCATTCAAAGCATCCCTGACAGATGGCCATCCAGCCTTTGCTTCAAAGCATCCATAGAAGGACCCTCCACCACACTCCGAGGTGGAGAGTTCCAATGTTGAACAGCTCTCCTTACAATTAGAAGGTTCCTCCTCATCTTCTAGAATCAGACCTCCTGGGCCATTCAGTCCAACCCCATTCTGCCAAAAAGCAGGGAAATCGCATTCAAAACCCTCCCGGCAGGTGGTTACCCAGCCTCTGCTTCAAAGCCTCCAAAGCAGGAGCCTCCACCACACTCCAAAGTGGAGAGTTCCAATGTTGAACAGCTCTCCTTACAGTTAGGAGGTTCTTCCTCATCTAGAATCCTAGAGTTGGAAGAGACGTTGTGGGCCATCCAGTCCAACCCCATTCTGCCAAGAAGCAGGAAAATTGCATTCAAAGTATCCCCAGCAGATGGCCATTCAGCTTCTGCTTCAAAGCCTCCATAAAAGGAGTCTCTACCACACTCCAAGGCAGAGAGTTCCACTGTTGAACACAGTGAGGAAGTTCTTCCTCATGTTCAGGTGGAATCTCCTTACTTTCCTGTAGTTTGAAGCCATTGTTCCATTGCGTCCTAGTCTCCAAGCTTGCTCCCTCCTCCCTATGACTTCCCCTCACCTCTCAATCCCGGGCCAACCCCGCCAGCATTCAAATTTGGGTGTCGGGTTTTTGTGCCAAGTTTGGTCCAGTGAATGAAAATACATCCTGCGATTCATAACAGATATGAAGGAGCAACTAATACAATGTTATGGTTAGGGAGCACCACAACACGGATTTATCAAAAACAAGTCATGCCAGACTCATCTGATTTCTTTTTTCGATAGAGTTACAAGTAGGGGAATGCCGTGGATGGAGCGTACCTGGACTTCCTTCAACAAGGTCCCCCGTGACCTTCTGGCAAAGAAACTAGTGCAATGTGGGCTAGGCAAAACTATGGTTAGGTGGATCTGTAATTGGTTAAGCGGACGAACCCGAGGGTGATTCTCCCCAATGCTTCCTCTTCATCCTGGAAACATGCAGAATAATCACAGGATGTCTTAAACCTACACCTGTTGATAAACTCTACAACAGTGTTTCTCAACCTAGGGGTCGGGACCCCTGGGGGGGTCACAAGGGGATGTCAGAGGGGTCGCCAGACTATCAGAAAACACAGTATTTTCCATTGGTCATGGGGGTTCTATATGGGAAGTTTGGGCCAATTCTCTTGTTTGTGGGGTTCAGAATGCTATTTGATTGTAGGTCACCGAGAGGCTGAGAAAGGCGGTATACAAATACAGTAAATACATTTATTTTGGTCATTAGAGTTCTTTGTGCCAAGTTTGGTTCAATTCCATTGTTGGTGGAGTTCAGAATGTGCTTTGATTGTAGGTGAACTATAAATCCCAGCAACTGCAACTCCCAAATGTCAAGGTCTATTTTCCCTAAGTTTCACCAGTGTTCACATTTGGGCATCTTGAGTATTCATGCAAAGTTTGTTCCAGATCCATCATTGTTTGAGTTCACAGTGGTCTCTGGATGTGGGTGAACTGCAACTCCCAAACTCAAGGTCAATGCCCACCAAATCCTTCCGGTATTTTCTGTTGGTCATGGGAGTGCCAAGTTTGGTTCAATTCCACTGTTGGTGTTCAGAATGCTCTTTGATTGTAGGTGAACTATAAATCCCAGCAACTACAACTCCCAAATGATAGTATCTATCCTCCCCAACCCCACCAGTATTCAGATTTGGGTGTATCAGGTATTTGTGCTAAATTAGGTCCGGTGAATGAAAACATATCCTGCATATCAGATATTTACATTACGATTCATAATAAGAGAAATAAGATTGAACACTGCGAATGAGACATGCAGAATAATCACAGGATGTCTTAAACCTACACCTGTTGATAAACTCTACAAGTTAGCTGGCATTGCCCCCCCCCCCCCCCCCCATGTGCAATGGGAAGTTGCTGCTAAATGTGAGAGAAAAAAGGTTGAACATGGTGGAAACCACCCACTACATGGCTACCAGCCTCCTCCCAGTAGACTCAGATCTCAGCTTTATGAGAACTGGGCCTGGTCCTGTTCAGGATCTTTGTTGATGACTTAGATGAAGGTTTCGAAGGCAGGATCATCAAGTTCGCAGACGGGACCAAATTGGGAGGGAGAGGCAATATTCCAGAGGACAGGAGCAGGATTCAAAACGATCTGAACAGATGAGAGAGATGATTGGCCAAAACGAACACAATGAAGTTCAATGGTGACAAATGCAAGATACTCCACTTAGGCAGAAAAAATGAAATGCAAAGATACAGAATGGGGGATGCCCGGCTCAAGAGCAGTACATGTGAAAAAGATCTTGGAGTCCTCGTGGACAGCAAGTTAAACATGAGCCAACAATGTGATGTGGGCGCAAAAAAAGCCAATGGGTTTTTGCCCTGCATCAAGAGGAGTCTATGTCTAGATCCAGGGAAGTCATGCTCCCCATGCTCTATTCTGCTTTCGTTAGACTAACCTGGAATATTGTGTCCAATTCTGGACACCACAATTGAAGAGAGATATTGACAAGCTGGAATGTGTCCAGAGAAAGAGGGTGACTCAAAGGATCAAGGGTCTGGAGAACAAGCGCTATGAGGAACGGCTTGAAGAGCTGGGCATGTTTAGCCTGAAGAAGAGAAGGCTGAGAGGAGACTAGAAATCCCTTGGAAATAAGATGTTCTTGAAACTCCCAACATTGCCCAGACTGATCTAAAATCCTTTCCCTATCTCATATAAAGCTTTTCCTGTCTCATGAAGCGAAAAGAAAACATTCTGTTTATCTTTACAACCAGATAAGGACCTCTTTTCTCTTTTCTAATAAATGGGCTGATGTAAAATGATCAAGGGTCTGGAGAACAAGCCCTATGAGGAGCGGCTTAAAGAGCTGGTCATGTTTAGCCTGAAGAAGAGAAGGCTGAGAGGAGACATGATAGCCATGTATAAATACATGAGAGGAAGTCATAGGGAGGAGGGAACAAGCTTGTTTTCTGATGCCCTGGAGACTAGGACGTGGAACAATGGCTTCAAACTACAAGAAAGGAGATTCCATCTGAACATTAGGAAGAACTTCCTGACTGTGAGAGCCGTTCAGCAGTGGAACTCTCTGCCCTGGAGTGTGATGGAGGCTCCTTCTTTGGAGGTTTTGAAACAGAGGCTGGATGGCCATCTGTTGGGGGTGCTTTGAATGCGATTTGAATGCCTTGTAATACTACAACTCCTGGGAGCGCCTAGCACTGAGCTGTGACAGTTAAAGTGGCATATCTGTGATGGAGATGGATAGTGAAAAAATGCTGGGAAAGAATTTGGCCACATCGCTTAAACTCCAGCTGTTATTAACCACACCCAATTTGAAGTGTTGATGGAGAGATAGTCCAGTTGCACGTTGGAGGCCAAAGGTTTCCCCACCTGAGCAGGTAGTAAGGCACAGAAGGACTTTTAGCTTCTCTGAACATGACATTTAGTAATCAAGTATGTAGTCACTCCCGATATCAATACGATCTGATTTGGAAATGACCAATGTGCAAAATACTGGAAGGTTTAGGTGGGCATTGACCTTGAGTTTGGGAGTTGTAGTTCACCTGCATCCAGAGAGCACTGTGGAATCAAACAATGATGGACCTCGACTAAACTTGGCACGAATAATGTGCTCAAAAATGAACACTGGTGGAGTTTGGGGGAAATAGACCTTGACATTTGGGAGTTGTAGTAGCTGGGATTTATAGTTCACCTACAGTCAAAGAGCATTCAGAACCAAATGATGGATCTGGACCAAACTTGGCATGAATACTCACTATGCTGAAATGTGAACACTGGTGGAGTTTGAGGGAAATAGACCTTGACATTTGGGAGTTGTAGTTGCTGGGATTTATAGTTAACCAACAATCAAAGAGCATTCGGATCCCAGTGATGGATCTGGACCAAACTTGGCATGAACACTCAATGTGCTCAAATTTGAGTACTCAGATGTGCCCAAAAGTTTGGGGAAACTAGACCTTGACATTTGGAGTTGTAGTAGCTGGGATTTATAGTTAACCAACGATCAAAGAGCATTCGGATCCCAATGATGGATCTGGACCAAACTTGGCATGAATACTGAATGTGCCCAAATTTGAGGAAAATATAGTTGTAGTTGCTGAGATTTGGGAGTTGTAGTTGCTGGGATCTATAGTTCACCTACAATCAAAGAGCATTTGGAACCCAATGATGGACCAAACTTAGCACGAATACTCATTGTGCCCATATGTGAATACTCAAATGTGCCCAAAAGTTTGGGGAAATAGACCTTGAGATTTAGGAGTTGTAGTTGCTGGGGTGTATAGTTGACCTATAATCAAAGACCAGACTTGGCATGAATACTCAATATGCCCAAATGTAAACACTGGTGAGTCTGAGAAAAATATTGCTTGACATTTGGGAGTTGTAGTTGCTAGGATTTATAGTTCACCTACAATCAGAGCATTTGGATCCCAATGATGGATCTGGACCAAACGTGGCATGAATACTCAATGTTCCCAAAAGTTTGGGGAAAACTAGACC